TCCCTCTCTCTCTCCCTCTCTCTCTCCCTCTCTCTCTCCCTCTCTCTCTCTCTCCGGCCGACCAACAACACACCTTAACCCAAACCCTAACATGAACCCTTACCCTGACCCAAACCGTAACCCTAACCCTAGGTCTAACCCTTACCCTATCCCTAACTCTTGTATAGTTTGCTCAGTGGACCTTGTCATGGTAAGTGCCGGCCCTCTGCGGAACTCCTCCCTGAAAATGTAGTTTTCTGGAATACAGGGTGTCTTTAAAAAAAAGAAGGACCCATTAAATGGCAATAAATCAGTCATCTGTACAATTTCGATTAAGCTTCAAACAAATAAAATTCTGATGCTCTCGTGGTCTAGAGGTTACAGTGTTCTCCTCTCATTCAATATGTCCCACATTCGAAACCTGACAGCGACAAAAATTTAAAGTTTTCTTTTCTAAAATGTTCTCCTTTCACCTCTCTAACCATGTTCTGTCGTCTGATTTCATCTTCACTTTTTACCCCCCCTCCTCCCCCTCCTCTGGACTCCTGCACTCCTTTTGTTGCCTGTCTACTGCTTCTTTGCTTCCTACTGCTGTCTTTCAGCCATACCTGCGATCTTATGTCTCAGTCAACTCGGATAAGGGCGTAAAATCTCGAAGGTCCCATATTGAAGTTTTACACATTAAAAATCCCTTGATGGTCCAATATCAATAAGAGTAGGCTTCAGCCACCACCTGGGCAAAATTCAAAATTGATAATTCCTGTCAAACTGAAAATGTTTAATGTAGGGACATCAAATCTGTAAATATAATTTAGGATGAAAATCATGGTTTGTCATATTGACTCCTGTCTGTAAGTGTAGCGTACCCATGGTTGAATTTTATTTTTTTAAAGTTTTGTTGAAGCCAGTCGAAAGATGACCGAGTTAAACAGCCCTTTAAATGGGCCCCTCTTTTTATTTAGACACCTGTTACTATCTCTCTATTGAAATAATGATAATGATTAGATTAAAATATATTGAAATAGATTTATGCCATAAATAAACTTGATGATGGTTGCCTAATGTTTATCTTTATGACATGGTTTTTATTGTTTCATTACAGTGGGGAGATATTTGCTCACAAAACAAACGTGTGTGCCTCAGTGACAGAGACCTGGTCTATCTCCTGGACACGAGGAGAGAGCAAAGGTCGACCAGAAACTGGAGGAGGGTGAGGAACCGGGGAACAGAATTTTTACTGAAACAACAGACTTTAGCGAGACATAGAGGGAAAAGAAGACAAACTACAGTGGAGTCTGCTGAAACCAAACACGGTTCATCCGATAATCATGTGGCGGTAAACCTTAATAAAATAATATCTCTGATTTTTTTCTTCAGTTGAACCAGATATCAGGCTGGAATCTCATCACTACGAATGACAAAGTACAGAGAGCTATTTTAGTACAGTGGAATTCGGATTCAACGAGGTCGCCGGGCCTGACCTAAAACCTCGTTGAATCCGAGTGTTCGGTATAGCAAACATGAGGTTTTGTGTAGATAATTACGGGCACTTAGTAAGTATAAAGAGAAGTCTCAAGTAGTGCCTGAAATGCCTCCTAAGTATGAGCTGTGTAAAAAAAGACCCCATTCGTTCAAATGCACACGCCTGTGTCATCTCGATTGTTTATCAAAAAGTTGTGTTGCTGTGTAGAGCCTAGCATACGGCCACTTTAGATTCCATAGACCAGCGCACAATTCATCACGTAGATCTACGTCAAGACTAGCTTATCATTGTAATAGTGATCAGTTGCCGAGGGGGAAAAAAGACTGACGCGTTTGTATCTGCGACGTTCAACGCCCGGACCGCTAGTGCTCCCTGCCCCCCAGACACGTACACACAGCCACACGTGTGCAGGCCGCCCATCTGACCCCGACACACGCTAGAGTAGACATGTGTGCGTGTCAGCAACGCATGTGTTGGTATGAAAAAAGGCCGCTGATTGGTCGCATGCAATCGGCTAAGTGAATAACGGTTCACGGTGCAGGTGCAATGGATGGTTTCCGGGAATAGATAAAGTTCGTTGTGGGAGAAAAATGAGTGAAGCCACGTCTGCGGGGGGTGTTCACCCTGGCAGCGACCTCGTTGAATCCCACCTCGCTGATTTAAGTGCTCATTGAATCCGGGTTATTTTTATTGATTTTAAAGAAGAAGAAAAAACCGGGGAATCTATCTATTCTCGTTGAATCCGAGTTCTCGTTGAATCCGAGTTCTCGTTGAATCCGAGTTCTCGTTGAATCCGAGTTCTCGTTGAATCCGAGTTCTCGTTGAATCCGAGCTCGTTGAATCCGAGTTTCACTGTAGCTGTTATGCTGATGGCAAGGGATGTTCTAAACTATCTACGTATAAAATGTTATAGGTGTGATCTATCAGGGGGAACTAGGCTCCTTGAAAACCTGTCTTCCTGTCATTGCCGCATTGTTGGTGTTTGTTTATTTACATGTTTTTGCTGTGATAATAGATTGATATAGTTGGTGTAACACACAATTCTATACTGGAAATACTATTTGAAATAGAGTCATGCCTTTTAAGGCTCATTGAGAAAGTTGACTTCAGACGGATGTCTCTATATATAAAACTCATAAAATTAGGAGCATACTTTTGATTATTTCTGATGTGAGGAAATTGCATTCTCTGTCCCCAGCTGTTTCCATCTGTACTTTTTACCTGTGCTGAAAGTGGCTTGAAAGAGCACCAAAACTGGTCCCTCACACCGGTGGAGCAACTGGCTGTTGCTATGGAGAGAAGCTTTCTACGTAAAACATCATCTTTTTCCGAGTTGAACATTCCAAAGTAAACCATGGTCTTGTTCTTGTTTAGTGTGTGTTTGTGTGTGTGTACTTAATCATAGTGAGTGTGTGTGTGTGTGTGTGTGTGTGTGTGTGTTTGTGTTTGTGTACTTAATCATAGAAAATGCTCCTTGCCTCAGAAAGTGATTTTCCCATTTCCCTCTTGGTTTCCCTTTGCCACCACTATTTGTGTTCCTCTTTCTGCTGGGCTGATATTTGCTCCAATCAAGTCATTGATGCTCTAGCTGTTCCCGTCTTTTTCTTGGTCTTCCCCTTCCTCTGTTTTCTTATACCTTTCTGTGGATAACAATTTTACCCAGAGCTTCTGTGTTTTTGTGAGCCAAAATAAGTGAGCTTTGTGATCTAATTAAATCTATAAATAAACAGTTCTTTATCTCGAGCTTTTTCAAGATTCTCCATTTGCATTATTTCTACGTATTTGTTTCTTTTTCATTTTGTTTCAGAGCCCAACAGTCGTGCGTACCTGAATGCCATAGAAATCTCGCCCTTCCTTGAGATACAGCCATAGTTCTCAACACTCAACCATTCATCTAAGAAACGCGATTCTACAGACAGGGTGAGTAATTTTCGAGAATCGCGTGGAGACATCTAAACAGCTGGGAGATGTAATCGACAAGCTTACACTGAAATATGGGGGCAGGGTACGTTATGTCGCTGTCACAAAATGAGCAATAATTGTAGGCAAGGCTACTGCAAGTCATTTATTTTAAGGAAGAGTCTAAGTAGTCCCCAATTGGGGTCTACGTAGTCATGGTGTCTAGGTAGTCCCCAATTGGGGTCTACGTAGTCATGGTGTCTAGGTAGTCCCCAATTGGGGTCTACGTAGTCATAGAGTCTAGGTAGTCCCCAATTGGGGTCTACGTAGTCATAGTGTCTAGGTAGTCCCCAATTGGGGTCTACGTAGTCATCGAGTCTAGGTAGTCCCCAATTGGGGTCTACGTAGTCATAGTGTCTAGGTAGTCCCCAATTGGGGTCTACGTAGTCATAGAGTCTAGGTAGTCCCCAATTGGGGTCTACGTAGTCATGGTGTCTAGGTAGTCCCCAATTGGGGTCTACGTAGTCATGGTGTCTAGGTAGTCCCCAATTGGGGTCTACGTAGTCATAGAGTCTAGGTAGTCCCCAATTGGGGTCTACGTAGTCATCGAGTCTAGGTAGTCCCCAATTGGGGTCTACGTAGTCATAGTGTCTAGGTAGTCCCCAATTGGGGTCTACGTAGTCATCGAGTCTAGGTAGTCCCCAATTGGGGTCTACGTAGTCATAGAGTCTAGGTAGTCCCCAATTGGGGTCTACGTAGTCATGGTGTCTAGGTGGGCCCCAAAAATGTTGGATTGTGATTGGCTTGTTGAGCAAGCGGTAGTTTACATTGGCTGCTAGGCCTACTTACTGATCATCTCGGGTAGTATGTCTATCAAGTGTTACTATAATTAATTTATTTTAGCCTAGAGAGAAAGAGAGAGTATTTAATGTAATGAATAAACGTATGTAGATCTAGATCTAGATTTTGTTGTGCACCCAGCCAAGAGTGTGCAGTTCGGTCTAGATGTAGATTCTAGATCTAGATCTAGATCTAGTGGTGGCATGGTGGGCGAATGACCGAAGAGCGACTCTTGACTACTTGCCTGTGGATTGGCAGAGACACACTAGGCCTATCATGCAACTTGATTCACACATGGGGACTGGATCTAGTCCAGTCTAGGGGGCGGCCATTTTGGCAAAATGCTAACGAAAGTCCTGTATCACTTCATAATGAATCAAAAGTTTTTATTTTACACGTGTTATTTTATGTACGACGTGATGACCGGTTGTTGCAATCCTTACAAAAACATTTTCTCTCTTTCTTTCTTTCCACTGACAGATGTCTTCTGAACGTCAGAACCTGACAGAAATGTTCAGCTATCTGTCCGGAGAACATTCACGACGCTACCATGTTGAAGGGGACATCAGCGCTGCTTACTCAGAGATGGTCATCAACAGGATCTGTCGGTAGATTTGACTGGACGAAAGATGAAGCAGACAAAGAGATGTGGATAACTGAGTGGATCTGTGTGGATCGGAAAAATACCTCATGTCTAGCTCATCCCGAATATTCCCCACTATTTTTTAGCTCATCCCCAGTAATTTTTTATATGATCCCTATTATTTTCTAGCTCTTCCCTAATATTTTCCAGCTCTCTCCGAATATTCCCTACTATTTTTTAGCTCATCCCCTTTATTTACTAGATCTAGGTCATCCTTAATATTTTCCAGCTTGTCCCCAGTATTTTCTAGCTCTTCTCTAATAGTTTCTAGCTCATTCCAAACATTCCCCACTATTTTTTTAGCCCATCCCCAGTATTTTCTAGATTTTTCCTATTATTTTCTAGCTCATCCCTAATAATGTTTAGCTTATCCTCAGTATTTTCTAGGTCATCCCTAATAATGTTTAGCTTATCCTCAGTATTTTCTAGGTCATCCCTAATAATGTTTAGCTTATCCTCAGTATTTTCTAGGTCATCCCTAATAATGTTTAGCTTATCCTCAGTATTTTCTAGGTCATCCCTAATAATGTTTAGCTTATCCTCAGTATTTTCTAGGTCATCCCTTATATTTTTTAGATCATCCAGAATATTTCCCTCCCCCCTTTTTTTTTTTTTTAGCTCATCCCCAGTATTTTCTAGATTTTCCATATTGTTGCTAGCTCAGCCCTAATATTTTCCAGCTCATCCCCAGTATTTTCTAGTTTTTCATTTCCATATTGTTGCTAGCTCAGCCCTAATATTTTCCAGCTCATCCCCAGTATTTTCTAGTTTTTCATTTCCATATTGTTGCTAGCTCAGCCCTAATATTTTCCAGCTCATCCCCAGTATTTTCTAGATTTTCCATATTGTTGCTAGCTCAGCCCTAATATTTTCCAGCTCGTCCCCAGTATTTTCTAGATTTTCCATATTGTTGCTAGCTCAGCCCTAATATTTTCCAGCTCGTCCCCAGTATTTTCTAGATTTTCCATATTGTTGCTAGCTCAGCCCTAATATTTTCCAGCTCGTCCCCAGTATTTTCTAGCTCCTCCCTAATATTTTCTAGAACATTCCGAATATTTCCCACTATTTTTCATTTCGTCCCCAGTATTTTCAAGATTGTCCCTAATATTTTCTAGCTCATCCTCAATAATTTCTAGCTTATTCGTAATAATTTCTAGCTCATCCCCATAATTTTTTAGATTATTTTTATTATTTTCTAGCTCATCCCCAGTGTTTTCTAGTTCATAATACTTTCTAGCTCATTCCAAATATTCCCCACTTTTTTTAGCTCATCCCCAGTATTTTCTAGATTTTCCATATATGATTAGTAGCTCAATCCTAATATTTTCCTGCTGGTCCCCAGTATTTTCTAGCTCCTCCCTAATATTTTCGAGCCCATTTAGAATATTTCCCACTATTTTTCATCTCGTCCCCAGTATTTTCTAGATTGTCCCTTATATTTTCTAGCTCATCCCCAGTAATTTCTTGCTCATTCGTAATATTTTCTAGCTTATCCTCAGTAGGCCTATTTTCTAGATCATTCCTCTATTATTTTCAGCTTATCCCCAGTATTTTCTAGGTCATCCCTAATATTTTCTATAGCTCATCCAGAATATTCCCCATTGTTTTTTAGCTCATCTCCAGTAGTTTCTAGATTGTTCTTATTATTTTGTAGCTCATCCCTAATATTTTCCAGCTCACTCCGTATTCCCCACTACTTTTTAGCTCATCCTCAGTATTTTCTAGATGATCCCTATTATTTTTTATATGATCCCTAATGTTTTCTAGCTTTTTCTTGTGTGCGGCTTTCTCTCAGTTATCATTTTCATCATCACCACCACCATCATATTTCATGATCATCATGATCATCACCATCACCATCATCGTCATCGCTTTTGTCATCAAGTAGGACATTTTCAAACCCAAACCAAAGCAACCCTGAAGCAACTGGCGTCTGTGGTGTAGCGGTCAGGTGCTTCACCATTGCACGCAGGAGACCCAAGTTCAATTCCCGAGTGGGGAGAAGATTCCACCGATTATCTCGGTCTTTCTGTGGGATTTTGTATCCTTCTCAATCCGGGTTGGTCCTGACAGGCAGGGTCAAAACCCGCCTCCTAGATAATCTAAATTGTGTTGATGGGGGTGTAAAAGACACC